GACCACCCAAGCAAATGACAAGAGGAATTAAGCATGCCCAGGATATAAAGAGAAGAGGCAAGAAGTCAATAATCATACACTTATTTAGAAAGTGCCACATACAGTACGGTAATTAAAACCTAAACATCTGGAGAAAATGTAAACAGTGTCTAATGTTGGCATGTACCAAGAGACCGGCAAGGATGGTCAATGTGCTCTGAGGAACCAGGGTCCTATTTATAGGATACAAGTCTTGGAAGGCTCTCTCAGCAAGAAAGATATTCATTAAGTGGTGATAACACAGAAAGGAGAAAGAACTGGGATATGCGGGGGGAGCGGGGGGGCAAAGGGAAATATAAAGAACAAATAGTCTCTAGGTTTTTTCTTTGCTGGGAACACACTGTACAGACAGTACAAGGTTATAACAACTAAATGAATTGGCTGTTCTGAGTTTAAAAAAACAAAACACTTTTTTTCTTCTTTTCTCCCCCAATGAATTCCACTTGGGATTCTGTATTCTGTAATCCTTAAAGATGTTATACAATACCGCATGAAGGGAGCATAGCTAAGGTTGGTTGGGGGCGATAGGAAAGGTACTGCGGATAGACGCACACTGAGTATAAAGAAGTTTTCTTTTTTAGGCAGAAAACAAATAAACTCAGTGAGAATTTAAGAGTAAGACTGAAATTTCAGCATTGATTTTTTTTCTCTTTGATACATTTGTATTAGCTCTCCCCATCACCATCTACAACCCAGATGTTCATTTCTGCAGCAGGTTAAGTCATCTTTTCTCATAGAATATTATATGTAGGAAGCCAATAAACTACTGCTGAAACCAACAAGACTTGGGATTTATCATGAACTGGGGGTGGGGGAGTACTTTCCCTCGGAGGCATGGTGACGAATAGGTAGCCTGCCTCTCCTCTGGCACTAGGACCCACTCATCCTTGTACTTTTGAGCCTACCTCATACATCAGAGGCCAGGTGCTGAGTTCCTTCGAAAGAGAGGATGCTTGAGCTAGGATAATACCTGGGAGCCAGATTTCTATGTCTCTTAGTCAAGATTTCCTAGACTGACCTATGATGAGATTACAGTTTTTAGTGTAACAGACACATCCAAGGAAAGCTGCAGTAATTTACAGCAGGCTTGCAAAGAAATAGCCAATGAATTGATCATCAATTTAAACTGCAAATAAGGGCCTGTTTCGTCCTGGCTGCTGATCCCAGTAATGCCCCTAACAAGCTGCCTGCAAAGCCAGGGCCTGATGCCTGCTGTTGGAGACATATTGATTGAAGAACTGTGCTTGTCCGGATAAGCAGCTAAAAATAGCCAGAAGAATGCAAAGGCAAAAGGTTTCTGGGAATGGAAGACAGTTACTCCGGTGTCAGTTTTATTCCAGTTGCTCTCACTGATGTGAAGAGGAGAGAGAAGTATCTGGTACAAAAGATGTTAACTTGTTAGACAGCACCCCAGAGACCTAAAAGAATTAATACAACCCTTTAAATGAACCTGCCTTTTCACTGGAGGACGCAGAAGTCCTAGGAGAATTAGAGCAAACCTCAATGCCTTTGTCCTGCATAATTAATACAGCCTGATATTTCTTTTCTTCTTCTTCTTCTTTTTTTATAACATAAACTCTCATTGATTGGGGGAAATATATTCACACTTTAAAATGTTGGGCAGGTACCTTCTCTTTGGTTCAAGTATGTCCCTTTGTGGGGGAAAGTCCATATTTCATGGTGATAAATTCACCTCATAAGCAGAAAAACTGAACACAAATATACTGCTATGTCAACATTATTGATTTTTGTACCATTGTAAAGACCTTCATTGTCCTCCAATATTTCTTAAATCTATCAGCATCTCAGAAAGTCACCCTGAAGGCCTCATTTATCTGTAGAGGAAAAGATCCCTCCTCCTAGGTTCACCCATAAACATTGTGATTTAAACAGCTCAGGCCTGCCTCTGCTTCTGGAAGTTAACCTGCAGAGAGAAAGCTGTTCTCAGAGTCACGGGCAATGGCTACTTCTTCTCTGGAAAAAGGATCAGCCAAGTCTTAATTTTAGCTAAATGCCCATGGCCAAATGTCTTTTTTTTTTTTTTTTTTTTTTTT